CCGGAGGTCCTGTGCAGATCTCCCATGCCGACTTGTTGCCAGAGATGCAACCATTCCGCGACGCCCTTACTCAAGCTTGGGTCTCTAAGGGTGAACCCCTGACCGAAGATATCTTTTCTGGCGAAATGAAAGGTCTCACGCATTGTGTGGATACCATCCACCGTGGTGAGCGTCAGGGCAGTTTCTTGTACTTGAAAAACAAGCCGAATGTGACGATCCTTTATGGGGTCCAGTCCAAGCAATTGATTATCGACCCCACCACCCGAATTTGCTCCGGCGTCACTGTGGTCAGCGAAGCTTCCAACACTGAGATCAGTGTTTATGCTAGCCGGGAAGTGATTGTGTCTCAAGGCGTGTTTGAGACGCCTAAGCTTCTGATGTTGAGCGGTGTCGGGCCTGCCACGGAACTAGCGAAGCATGGAATCAAGCCAATCGTGGACTCCCCTCACGTCGGCCAGCATCTCCTGGACCACCCCATCGTGCCGTTCGTGCTTCAGATCAAGGATGGATATGGCCTGGATGATCACATTCTCCGCCCCGGTCCTTTGAATGACAAAGCCCTGGCAACCTACCAGCGTGACAAGACTGGTCCTGCCAGTTCCGGCTTTTTGGAGCTGGTGGGATTCCCTCGCATTGATGAACGACTGGAGAAGTATCCAGCCTACCGTGAGGCTAAGGCTGCGAATGGTGGACTGGATCCCTTTGGACCCGCGGGTCAGCCGCACTTCGAGCTTGACTTTGTCGGCCTCTTCAGTACTGCTTTCCAGTGGCACTTCCCCTTGCCCGAGAAGGGTAGTTACATGACTGTCATTGTCGATCTGCTCCGGCCCCTGTCCGAGGGTGAAGTTACCTTGAACAGTTCCAATGCCCTGGTACAGCCTAACATCAATCTCAACTTCTTTGCTAACGATTTGGATATTCTGGCCATGCGCGAGGGTGTTCGCTGGACATACGATGTTCTGACCAACGGAGCTGGGTTCAAAGACATCGTCGTTGGGGAATACCCTTGGAAGATGCCTCTCCATTCCGACGATGATATGAACAAGGCTGTTTTGGACCGAAGCCAGACCGGATTCCGTAAGACCGACCCGCATCAAGACTGCCAACAGCACTAACATAATTCACAGACCCCTGTGGTACGGCGCGACTCTCCAAGAGCATCCATCAAGGTGTCGTCGACTCTAAGCTCCGAGTACATGGGGTGCGCAATCTCCGCGTTATGGATGCTTGTGTTATCCCGGTGATTCCAGACTGCCGTATCCAGAACTCCGTATATATGATTGGCGAGAAGGTGAGTGATCAACCAATTTTGCTCAATCATACGAGGAAACTAATCTATCTCCTAGGGTGCGGACATCGTCAAATCAGACCACAAGGATCTGTATGAGGCAAAGAATATTCCTTACTTTGTCTCCAGCAAGCTATGACTTGGTCCATGGCCTCGGGATGAAAGCCATTGAAAATCCTTCACAGAGCAACCCCGTTGTTCGATTCACTGGCACAGCCCCATAAGAGCCTCGCGGCTTCGAATTCAATCGCCATCTCTTTGTAGGCTTTTGGGTTTTGGATATAAATCTATTTGAGTTTTTGCAGTTCTTATCACGAAAAAGACTTTCGTTTCACCTAAAGCATAGATAATTTAATCATCAAGCAAAGCCTTTTTCTCCGATGAGAACAGACTGATACCAGATGACAACCAATCAAACTTGCTTCATTCGGTAATGAGCCATGTTGTCATGTGAGGAGCATAGAGTACAATGTATCTAAAAAGTTCTCAGCAAGCCCGCAATACTCATAACTATGCGCATGCTACGTTGAAGGTCAGTTCGCTTTCGTTGTTGTGGTGGAAATGCATTGTACCACCTAGATTCCACTGTCATGTGGAAGGTATGTAATTCAAACCAAAGGGTTCTCGTATTCGCGTTACCTAGCCACTGAAGTACTGTCATGAAATATACAGGAGACACAGGGTATCACGGAGAAAAGTCATGATGGGTTGATTGATTGTTCACCACTGCTACATGATCGCTCTGTAGTCAAGCGCGTGTGATACGATATAGGCGGACCATCCGTCCTGACTCCGAGCTGAGTCCTAGTGGTGGATTAACACCCTATGAACTTGGTGCCAGATTAGCCGCTTTGTGGAGTCGTTAGACTGGGCGGACCAACTGTGTAGTGCTACCAAATAGGGAAATACTAAATGAAATGGTGAAGGTTGGCACTATTGCACGATCGAGTTCAGATAATATTCGTTCGTTTGGGAAGTTCTAGACCGCCTTGCACTGCAGTCAGGGGCCAGCTGGAACGAAATTGGTGGCTGTCTAGATTCAAAATCAATCATACGTCTCAAATTTGAGGAAGCTTTAATAGATACGACTGGATCGCTCTTTCCGCTCCCCTAATGCACACAAAAATCAAGCCTACCCCACCCCGTGGCATGTCTGATTTTTTCTCGGCGTTTCAAATTTGAGCTCACGTATCCAATAAATTTCACGCGACCGTTCCCCTCCCGTCCTTGCTCTGCTGACCACGAGAAACATTTCATTCTTAAAACACCTGCGAACCAGAGATGGTACGAGGCGGTAAGACTTCTTCTCTCGCGATGTCGTCAGCTCTGCTCAGTTGTTGCAAATGTACCATCTGGTTTTCTTGGACATTCCTGGAACCCACACCAGCACTGAACGAGCCCGGGGGTTCAAGATACCTGACTAATCCTATGCAGTTGCTCTTGTTCGGGGTGACTCGAAAATCACCGGGGTAGTAAGCTTTGAGCAAATCGATGAGAACTTTCCTACCACTATTTCCTGGAATCTTACAGGAAACGATGCCAATGTCGAGCGTGGATTTCATATCCATCAGTTTGGTGACAACACCAACGGCTGTACATCTGCTGGCCCCCATTGTTTGTTACACTTTGTCTTCAAACTGGTTTTACCTCTAACACTAAAACAGACAACCCCTTCGGTAGAGCCCATGGTGGACCAGGCGACACTGAACGTCATGTCGGCGACTTAGGAAACTTCAAGGCGGATGCTGCTGGAAATTCCAAGGGGACAATGAAGGACCACCTCGTCAAGTTGATTGGCCTGGAAAGTGTGCTTGGTGTAAGCTTTAGCTTGTGCTGGACAGTAATATAACTCTAACAAAGCTGGTCAGCGTACTTTAGACATTCACGCTGGTACAGATGACTTGGGCAAAGGCCACAACGCAGAATCTAAAAGAACGGGTAATGCAGGACCTCGTCCTTCTTGTGGTAAGTCGAGGCACCTACCAAAAGGCTCTCCTGTTTGATATTGTCGACAGGCGTAATAGGACTCGCGGCAGAGTCCAGTTCTTTTGCCAGGTCGACCTTGGTACAATCAGTCACGCCTTCCCATCTGTGAATGTGCGGGATACCGTGGTGACGAGAAGCAGCGCGACTGTATAAAGCCTTGGCGACCAAGCGTCATCGATGCAGTAGTGACTTTCCATGTTCACGCCTGTACCAAAAGTCGCCTTGTTATGTAAAATGACACGACCGGTCATTCAATGGCTTCCTGTACGTTTTAATGGAAGTAGTATGTACCAGTACTGCAATACGCCTGTGGCCCTTGTATGGTACTATAATCAAGATGCGTTGCTCTATAATTATCTGAGAGCAATAATCAGGCCCGCCCCATTGAGGATTCAGCACTTAGTTCCTTAGGAAGCAGCAAGCAGGAAGCAGGAAGCTGAGAGGGTTGAATGGAACAATAGTACTGTTAAGATTCTCTTCACTTTTACCGACATTTGATTCTGCGTATCTACTTGATATGAATTTACTATGAGTCTATGCCGTAATGCCAAGGTACCCGGGTTATATGCCGAGACGCTTCATCTACGAGAAGATTCCGGGGGGGAGGGTAGTCACCAAACTGGAGTGCACACCCATGGCAAATATGGGAAAAGCTATTGTCGCAATATGTACTGAGAAAATCCGAGGAGTCATAGAACATTCGGGCTGCTTGAGGCAATAGAATATATCTATATCTGAGGATAGCGCAGACCATAAATAAAGCCAGGTCATAGAAAATAAACCCCTATGTGTCCGTATAAATTAGCAGGTCAATTGTAAATGAAGTTGAAGTGCATTCTATACATGAGCCCATATAATCCCCCAATAATAATAATGAATCTTTGAATTACAATCAAGTAAGTAGATAAAATAGAACAGACAAGGCCCTGTCGACTAGCACAATGGGATATACAAAGTCAGTATCATATCCAGTAAATAGAAATGTGGCATGCACCGAATTTCGAGCGAAAATACTGCGAAAGGGGGGGGGGCCGGTGGCCGAGATTTCTCCCCTCACGAATTTCTCCCCCTCATGAGGAGAAGGTGTGACGTGTGCACCTTCCGCGGCAATTTTCAGCGTAGGAACTATAAGCCTCAAATCAAGTGGGACGCATGGCCCATAAAGGTCTCTGCATTGGGTTCTAGATATTCTCTGCACTACCCCTTTGAGAAGTAGTAAAGGTGGGCCTTTCGTCCGGAGGCGGGAAAGTATTTAAGTCTGATCCGACCAATCAATACCCACTGAAGTTCCTCCTCATGAAAGAAAGAACTATCTTTATAAGCACCTACCTTTTAACATTTCAACAAAGCCGAGTAATTACCAGAGCCTCGGAATATGATCCGAGGACAATTTTAGTGACCGTAGTGCAGAGAATATCTACTGGTAGAATTCGCTACACCAAATTCATAAAATACGTCACTCCTAAAACATTTGCAATCCAATGTACTAAAGATTGCGGGGCGACATATTGTCAGACTATTGTCGAAGTTTCCAACAGGAGTGGGGGGTCGCAGTAGAAACCTTTTCTACGTCTGTTCGATTCACCTTCAACAACTCTCGCTGCTTTCCATATTTTTTGCCTCTGTCTACCCTGTCCAAGTATGTTTTAACTTTACTATACACGATGTTTTATTGACCAAAATAAAACAGCGACGTCGAAATAGCGATGATACAGTGTCTGCCGATATGACAAACCTCCTACCAACCGCCAGCTGTACGACGAAAAACACGCGTTTCTTTTTTGTCAATGGAAATGAACCCGAATCCCGCAAACATGCCATGCGAGAACACTGGAGGAAACGGAAGGAACGGAAGGCGGCTGCTAAGGAACATGACAAGCCATTTGGATTACTCCGATCTATCCCCCAAAAAGACCGCATGGTCTGCAGAATGGAAGCTCATAGACATTCCGATGATCCAATACTGAGTCAAGACCATCCATACAGTCGCGAAGCCACATCGACCCCTACCCATGGGTACCCATCAAACATGCAGCCCAATCCATGTGAAGACACATTAGCGGCCGCGGTGGTCCAAAGTCAGGCTGAATATCGCAAGACACTCGCCCCTGAAACGTGGTTACCATAACACTAATATATCTTATAGGCCCATGCAACGCATCACAGCCCCTGGAGGGCATTGTCCAAGGCAGCGTTGACTCAAAGCCCCGCATACATGGTGTATGTAATCTCAGGGTCACAGATGCTTCCTTCGACCCTGTGGTCCCTCATGGCGCTATTGAGGACCCAGTGTCTATACGTGACACCAAGGTGAGATTCCATTCCACTCGCCATTGCAAATACACTAACTGTAGCCTAGGGAATGAACTATTTTCAACCCAAAGACACAGGACTCTATGGCGTCAATGATGTCTCTTGCGTTGTTGCTAGCAAATTGTAACCCAGGTTCAAGGCGTCGATAGGATGAAATTATGTTCAAAAACCAGACTTTACAAATTTTGCTCTCAAGATCAACCTGTGACAGCCTGTGATGCCGCATCTTCACATTCTCCGTCACGGTGTAATGTTAAATCAATTAAGGCGAAAGATAAAACAGAACTTGGTAATTAACCATGTTATTTAAGCATATCCACTGTTTTGGGACGTTATGCGATACTTTTCTTGTCATGACATGCTTTTACTTTGATCCTCAAGGTATTATCGGAGATCCCGGAGAATATTGACAGTTCTGATCGGGTTTACCGAGTCTTCGATACTTGATATGGTTTTCAACAAACACGGGTATAATAGGAGCAAATAATGCATGACACCGCTTAGCCGTGATGAGGAACACAAATGACTCTCCCGATCTAACTCACACTAACCACCTCGTACCAGAAACGATAGATGCACTTCAATTGCCGAGAAAAGGATTTCGAATATTTGAAGCTCCTTCAAGCCAGCCTATTTAGAAAGCTACTTTACCACGAGGATCCGCCACGCTACTAGTGAGATAAAATATACAGAAAATAACCACGTATGGACTCCAAGGAAACACGGATTATGATAGAACATGTATTGGTAGGTTAGCAATAGTTGCTGCTCTTTCGGCCTGGTCGCCGAGTGCTAATTAATTATGTGTGTACACGATAGCGTGGAGATACATGTTACAGTGCAGCTTGGCCCTGTACTGCACAAGCCCAATGTCAAAACAGCCCCCTCCTCCTCTTGCTTGCTCTGATTGCCTCTACGTTTCCCACAGTATTGTATACTGCCCGCGAAGTAAATCAAGAAGTCCTAACGTTCGATTTATCAAGCAAACTATATGCTGCCCTCGTTGAGACGAATGTCTATCCAGAGGGCTCCTACTACATGGCCACCGTACACCGCTCTCTTTCTGAGAATATGCTGAGTTTTATTGAAAGACAGAAAAGCATCGAAAATTGCTAAATAACACTGCTCTTTGCCGTCGAGAGCTTTTGTCTCGTCAACAACATGCCAAATGGTTTCCGGAAAACCTGGAATACAAAATCCTAATATCCATTAACTGCCAAGGTAGCACATCAACTATTTGTAATTGGCTAAGTACATCCCATTCTGAACAAGGATTTCTGGATATTCGAGGGTCCCCGTTAGTTTTGAGAACAAAGTTGACTATTTAGCTGTGAACCACTGACCATCGTCGAAATACCTTTGAGTCGTCCTGGCCGGCATATCTGCCCGGAGGAAAGTTGTAGTCATCATCCAAGTGCTCCTTAGCTGCCATGAGAGGCCCCCATTTCTGCTTAATGGCTTTGAGACGTTGCTTGAAATCCGATAACATTGTTGTAGGATGTGGACCTGCTGTAGAGGACAGAGCAAGGTCATTGATATGGACAGATGTTGTTTTACTCATTTCTGCGGAAACACTCCTGGGAAATAAGATCGAGTGAAATGTCTGACGATGCAACGTTGGAGCTGTTCAAGTTCTCTCTTCATTTTGAACGACAAGCCAAGCATTTTATAATCTCGGGAATTGAAAAGTTGCGACCGCACAGTCCAGACGCTTCAACCACTGTTGGCCGAGCCTCAGCCGAAATATCTGCGTCTTTTCTATTCTCAAAATACAACATACCCAACACCTCCCTACAAATAAGTTGCCCAGTATCATAGTTTGGGTGGATGAAAAATGGATCCAGAAAACCCAGATAAGTTCCAAACAAGGAAAGGCGGCGCTGTGAGATGGTTTGAAGCTGCGGGGAAGGGGGTGGGGTGAGTGGAATACTAGTATTACCATATCAGGAAAGCTGGCATGCGGGAGACCCACGGACGGCATTTGCCGAGCTATCACCGAGGCTTTACCCAAAGTCGTCCTGTACCATGCGCATGTGTATGTTAGAGTGACTTTGGCTATGACCAACGGTATTGCTGATAAAATCGTGCAGAGATCATTTTCCCCTCGTGAGGAGACAATTACTTCCGCCTAAATCGTTTTTTTAAGTGGCCCTTTGATTATTGGTAGGTGACGGAGAACGCATTTCATCACTCATTGAATTCGAACTGAAAAAAGGTACGTCTCGATGAGGTCCGCAAAAATGCGAAGAAGGGGATATAGAGACCCGAAAACAAGGATAGAGATGAATATAAATTCGAAACAAGGTGTGTGCCAGCTTCGCGAAAAATGAAAGTGGCTTACAAACATCCTCGTCCTTGAAACCTTCATTTTGCTTCAGAAGTGTCAGACCAACCAAAGCCCGCAATTATTTCAAATTAGAATCACTGACTCTTTTCTCACTACTGTAACCTCTGGTTGCTCTGTTTTTTGAGGGATGAGAAAAATAGATCTTCTTAATGTTAGTTGCTCATATGTCTATCTTTAATCCCAAGGAGCTCTTTAACGTATTGGTAAAACACAATGCGCGCTCGAAATATTTATGCGTTCGATCTTGGTGGTATGACAATGGATATCATCGATGATGATCATTACTCAAGGCAGTAGAAGTAGTGGCCGAATAAGAAATCAAATCGCCAACATTTACCCGACCAGCCAATCGCAAGATTGGGGCAACTTCCTGAACTTAAGACACGAATTATTACCTATAGTACTGGTAATAAACGCAATGAATGGCAGCCGGGGTTGAGCGGTGGGTTGCCATAGTGGCAGGCTCAAAGCGTAAAGGCTCATCTTCATCAAAAATACAAGATCAAACTAAACAATCTCCGTACTTAATGATCAATTGACTGTGAATGGTAAAACTCTGCACGCAAGGAAAAGAAGCCAGCGGAATACGATAGGCGATTTCAATTTGGAATCCAGGCCTCCTTCCATTGGACTCAGTCAATTACTTATCCAATAATACAGTTCAGTGGTTTCTGTGGAAGCTTCAATATTCCGTCATGATATGACACATTCGAGATTTATGTGAAGCCCGGGCAATGGAGCTTTGCCTAAAACCTCGTTTTGAACATTCTGCTTATGTGTTGAGGTTTAACTTTCGATTTCTCAACATGAAGAATTTGGAGTCGCAACTCCTCATTGGTTGAATGGTCTCACTGTTTCGGGAAATAGTCTTTGGCCGATACGGAATAGTGGCGAAATTCAGCCATAGTGAAGATTGTAGGGAAGTATGCCCATAAAGCCAGCATTACCCAGGCACGTTAAGACATCCAATCTTTTTACGTTTTTTACAGTACGTTCTATACTACCGATTCCGAGAACTTCGAATTCAGGCCAAGAAGCTTTGAAGCTACTCTTCCCCAGATTAAATGCCCACAACGCACGCAATTCTATCTCGTATATCTGGTCGCGTTTCGTTAGGCCATAAGACTTGAGCTATGTACAAACGGAATCTCCATTTTCTCGGTGAAAACCACTCTCCGTCTCATGTAATCTTGCGTCAGGGCGAGGGAGAGGACATTGTGATGAGTGATAAGTCAACAAAGCGGAGTGAATCAGGGACAAGAGACGGCTGGAAGAATACAAAGAGAACCTGAGGAAGCTGGGGCGAATTGATAAAGTGGAACTTAAGTTAACAATTAAGAAGTGCCGAGTGATTCCAATCATGTATTTGCTTGGCTCCAATATCCCAGAAGGCACTGTTCAACTCCCCATAGGGCTTTGGGACTGATATCTAGAAGATATTCAGTCACAATCGTAACAAAAAGAGTTACATGCATATTTTCCTCTCTAAGCGAAAGGCTGTCCCAAATGATTGATAGAGGGTCATTCAAAGGACTGATCCAGATGTGTTGCGAGTCACGAAGAAAGGTGTCAAGAGAGGACAATACATTGCTCTCTTTTCGGTCCAGATCTTCACGAAGACCTTTTTCGCTTTCTTGCAGAGAAGCCCATATGAAAAGTAATGATTTCAGACGTTGAGAGACAACTTGATCACTTGGTGTATTTTTATATGTGCCTTGTCCCGCTCCTTGTCGACTTTGAAACGTGTTTATCACTTCTTTCAATGAGGTGGTATGCTGTAGCTGATTGAAGTTTCGGAACCGCTTCGATGATTTGTAAGGCAAGTAGCATAAACCTAATATTTCGAATACAAAGCTCTCATATTCCTCCAGCAAATATGCTACCGATGGCAGCTTCTCTGTCTGTGTTATCCCGTCGAAATTGAGCCTGGAGATTCAGTCAAATACGGATAGACGATAAGCTGTAAATATACTTACAACGAAACAACAATTTGGAGCCTCCAATTTGTGTGGAGGGCTTGATATCCTCCCCTGGTATCTGTAATTTGCCGAAGCCCATGTTTGTGCATATCGAATCGATCTCGTGAGCCCCAGTATTTCTGTTAATCTCATGGATATTAGCCCTTGACATTTTATTTTGGCGCATAATAATAAATATTGCATAGTATTATTTATACAGTGTCCGGAAACTGCATTGTGGCAAGATTCAACAGACCTCAAACGTGAGAAGTCGCACGACGCCAGCGAAGACCTCATCTTTGATCGCAGTTGGCGAAGTGCTAAGCCATAAATTGATTGTTGCTATGGCTTCGGTTTTGAATTTCAAGGTCTCTGAGTTTGCCGCATCTTCTCTCCGTCCATTGAGGTCTGCAGCTGCATGGGCTAAGATTCCATTAAATGATGCAGCATTTGATAGGTCGAGCGGTAACCAAATATCTCTGAACGGGGTGAATTTTAGTCCTGAATGTAGGGCATCAGCATGCATACTGAGCCCTGGAAAGCAAGTGAGCTTGTCAGCATTCTAGGTATTCTGATGTGGTACACCTCGTGTCATATCTGCACTTACAATGATAAAAATGCCGATGATGATGTGCTGAGATTTGAATGGAGCGAAATTTAGCTTCCTGGCCTAGACTTGGAGATAATGCAAATCTGATGCCAGAAAGAAGCTGCTCAGGAATACCAGGTACTGGTGTATTGCTGTTGGGAATAAAGGGGTTCTGAAGATGCGAGGAAGTATCTTCTGTTGGTTGAAATTGAAACTGATTGGGACAATTTCTTTCGTCCTTCCTTCGAGCCCCGCTGGATAACAGTGGTCGCAAACTTGGTTTGGTAGGTCTTGTGTCTTTTTGGCGTCGCTGTTCAATCTTCCTGTCCCTCCAATATGATTTCATTGCGTGGCTACGGGAAGTAATATCCCCGTTTCCGGTAACAAATTCATATTTCGGCAGATCTGGCTCTGGTAAGGTTTCAAAGTAGGCGTTTGGTTTCTGTATTTTCTTGTCAATGTCCATTTTCTTTTCAGCCTGTGAGCTCATCGCCGTTCAGTGGCGTAAGATGTGTGTTAGGGATCAAATTGGGAAAGGCTCCATTGTGCATGTATTCTTTCCTCGTCACACCGTATAGGTTTAAACCCTGCCAAAGCACTTTTTCTGCCATTTCTAAATTCACGTGAAAATATGAGCTTAGGGCAGTATGTGTAATACTGATTTATTGCCTCGTAATCCTAAGCCGATCTCTAGCAGCAAGAGCTATGAATTCATATGAGCTCACATTGAGTAATTTCTCTACATAACGCTAGACCCAATCCTGATATGTGAACACCCAGTCAACATTGAAAAGGGCTGCTCCCTTGTATAGCACAATACTGTCTGAAAAAGTGAACTATTTTCGTCATTTGGAAGGCATATCCAGAAAAGAAAATATTACTAACAATTCCAAAAGAGGAAGTACTACCTAAAGGAGACTCATTGAATGTAAAGATACAATTGGTCAACAGTGTTTGCTTATTTGCGAGTGTAGATCGACAATGCCACAAGGGGCTGCAACGCCCCACGTCTTAGTTGGAGCCTAGTGCATGGGTCTCGAGAGCTTTGGGAATCATATCATAGCGTCTTCAATAATCTAGGCGACTATGAGAGCCCGCCTAGCTTTCTCAAACACTTTCCTTCACGGTAATGCATTTGTTTATATCAACATATTCATAGAAGTCGCCATTTGAAAACATTAAAATATACACAGGCAATGCAACAACCAATATTTGCTATTGTTTTTCAAGCCTCAGGTGGCCCTTTCCACCCTTGCTTCACAAACTGCTTCCCCTGGGAAGAAAGTGGATACCGGGACACAGGTGGTTAATAATGTGAGGCCAAGCCCACTTAAGGAATACGTTCGAAGTGAAACCTTCACTGTATATAGTTTCTGGAAACCACCATTACCGATCATCGCGGTCTTCCAGCTAATTCTCACGATGGTCTGAGATGGGCTCTTAGAGTTGTCGTCTTAGTAATCAGAAGAATTCATCACTGTTCTTATTATCTTCTCAACAATGGAAAGTAAAGGCTCCCATTACAAGATAGTGTATATCAACCTCGGCGTTAACGCGAAAGAAATTCTAAAATCAGTCTCATACAAGAGATCCTGGTATCCCCGCACAGATATTTGGAGAACAATAATAGCAGAAAGGCATGGATGAGGTAGATCGCCAACTCAAATGAGCAATTGGGCGACTCGAGAGAGATACAGGGGACAGTTAATGGCACAGCGCCCTCTCGGTGAAAAAAGAATAAATTTTCAAGTTTTAATTCCGGGCAAATCTAATGTTATAAATAAAAATTCAATGCTAGCTTCTTGTATTCTTGTTTACATTGTTTTCTTCCAACTCAATGCGGCCATCCACCTTTGCTACTGAGTTACCTGGGGATGCTGAAGCCTAACTAATGGCCATGTGCTGGAGTATTTCAGCCCACTGCCCTGATATTACGGGCGTCCACCTGTCCGCAGCTGTTTCGGAGATGGAAAGAATCGAACTTCAATCACTAATCAACCAGTCACTACACATCTCAATATATGTAATACCTGTCAGGCTCCGAATAGCAGCTCAATTTGAGAGTGATGACAATGCCTCTCACGTAAACTTAACTCGTTAAGACATCTTAAAAAAGCTCAGCCATTTGCAGTTCAGACGTGAAGGCAGTGATCTAGCGAGGTGCTCGGTCGGCATGTTAAATGTATTGAGGGACGATCAAACGGATAGTTTCCGCATTATCAATCATAGGGTGGAGAAAGAATACTTTAAGGAGAATGTTCTCAGGCTCATAAATTTCTGACAACAATCATTCTATTTTGGTAAAACCACTTAAGGCCGCTTTTATCAAAGTAATACATTAAAAGCAGAAGCAAAGCAATATAATGTGGTGCTTTTTCTGTTATTAGCTCACTTGAAAAATGGATAAAGTGTCGAGACTTTAATCATGCTAAACGATGTGGAAAATACCAATGTCGTATCTAGTCACTATGTGACCGTAAATCCCATTGTCTCGTCTCTTCACTAGCTCCCTGCCCGTAGTGAGGAGTGGCCAGGAAGAGGTAAATCATCGTGGGCCGATTATTTAGCGTCTCTACCTGGGTGGAGAATGCGGCAGAGATTACGAAGCCTGAGGTCTAGAGGGAGTGACCAAATTTGGCTATTATCGTCTCAAAGACCAGTTCAAGGATACGTTATACCTAAGCCTCAAATCCGACGAATTGACTTCGTTACTGCATTCAGAGTAGTGGCGTGGACTGTAACTCAAAAAATCAAAGAAGTCTAAACACGCCATACTGGGGTATTGCGATAATTGATATTATTGGTCAGATACTATTCCCAAATTTGGCTTAATGGTGGGGCCGGAAGTGGGGCCCACTCCAGCCATAAATTCCCATCGAAATTGCCCAAATGTCAAATGCATCATGATATCAGTCATACATACTATTATGAAAACAGTAACTATCTCATTTTCACTTATCTAGTAGAGAATGGACAGTGGAAGCATTGCGCTTATAATTCTATATCATCAGGTGTCATTTGATCCACCATAGTTTATCAGTTTTTGAAAGTTACTCATGTAAATAGGACATGGCGTTTGATATGAGAGAACGCCTGCATAATAAGCCTAAAATGGAAATAGTATTAGACCAATTGTAGCGCATTGGGTCAAACCGTAATATCAGGACAGCATAATGAACCCGTTACATACTGGTGACGCGTGCTTCGCAAGCTTTCGCACGCCGATGCCCTGAAACGAAAAGTGAAGAGGCAGAAAATAGTTGTGAAATACCAAGAGGGCGTCAAATGAGAAGGTATCGATTAAACGATGCACAGGGAATAGAAAAGGTAAAAGTAGGTATGAATGGCACAAGCACTTATATAAGAACAATAGAGGTATCAGAAATGTATTAAAGGACCGTACCTGCAGAGGCAAGCTTCGTCTAGGATCAGCGAAGGAGAACAAGCCAATAGAGCGGAAGACAATAAAGCTAAACCAAAACAGGAAGCAGTTGAAGGCCAATCGCAAAGGTCAGAAGTGAGAGGAAGCGGTCAATGAGGAAACTCAGTCGGCAGCCAACGAGAAGCGAGAAATCTCCTTGGAATGGGCGAATCAGAGGCAAGCAAAGGTATTAGTTTGGTAGGGCAGCTTTCGTTGCTGCACCCTTGTGTACTGGTGATGCGCGCTTTGCAAGCTCCGTACGCCGATGCCCTGAAACAAAGTGAAGAGACTGAAGCTAGCGGTAAAACACCGAGAGGGCGTCAGAGGGGATGGCATCGATAACACGCGGCACGTAAGCAAGCAGACGAATGATGTTGCAGGTATGAAGAGTACATAAATATGAAAGCCACGGTCTATAGAAAAGGTGAAAAGTAGGTATGTAAGTGAATGGCGTAAGCAATTACATTAGAAAAAGGGAGGTATCAGAAATGCATATAAGGATCACAACTGCAGGGGAAAGATTTGTCTAGGATCAACGTTGGAGAACAAGCCAATAGTGTGGAAGACGGGAAAGTTAAACCAAAACAGGAAGTAGTTGAAGGCCAATTGCGAACGTAAGAAGCCAGAGGAAGCAGCCAATAGGGTAACAAAGGTGGCAACCAGCGAGAAGTGAGAAATCGCCCCAGAATGGGCGAATCAGAGGCAAGCGAAGGTACCAGTTTGGTAGACCAGCTCTCGCGGCAACAGCCACGTACCTCATGTGTAGCCGTGGCCGAAATAAACCCCTTTCAATCGTTCCTCGTTTCAGGGCAAGGTTTGGGCGCTTACTGGCCGTAAGACACGAAACTTTATACAGAGTACTGGTAAAGAACGTAATAAATTACAACTGCATTTGAACGGTGGAACTTCATATTAGGGGAGCTATACCTCAAACCACATTTGCGAATGGTTCGCTAAATGACTTGAATTTTAATTCTCGCTTTCTAATCAAGAGGAGTTTGGCATCGCAACTCTTGATTGGTTGAATAGTTTCACTGTATTTGGAAAATAGTCTTTGGCCGGTATAGAAAGCGGCGAAACTCAGCCAAAAAGAAGGGTGTAGGGGTCTGCGATGCTCATAAACACACTATTATCCCACCACATTAAGACTCCTCCGTTATTTCTGTTCTTTCTGCTCTATAATATCCATTGTGACGACGCTGAATTGCGGCCAAGAGATTTTCGAGCCACTTATTCCCAGACTATGATCAAACGTAGGTGAATGTATCTTGTGTATCTGTCCATGTTTTGTCAGACCTTAACGTTTGAGCTAGAACCACGTTTTATCAGCGGAAAGAATTCCCCGTCTCGTGTAGTCCCGCTCAGCGATGAGCGAGAGTGTGTCGGGATGAATCATGAATCAACAAAACGACGTCCATCAAGGACAAGAGACGGGCTGGCAGAATACAAGAAGAATTTGAAGATGTTGGAAAAAATTCACAAACTGGAGCTCCAAAGATTAAACACCCTCTAGGTTTGATCACAGCTTGCAAAGAAGGACAAAATTGCAAGATTACATTTAGTCCAAATATTCTCGTTTGTTTTTGAGGAATTGTTCTCAACCTGTGGATATTTGAGTCGCTTGTGCGTACGAAGATATATTCGGTAGTGTGAGGAGGTAGCCCCTCAAAAGCCTTTTCACGAAGGATTGCGGGTTTGAAGGCAACCCTCCGGACTGTTGAGCTTCGTCAAATGCTATATTACCTCTTCAGCCTTGTCATAGAAAATAACATTACTAATCACAACAAGCATAGTATTTTGTATTAGTGTTGTGAAGGGTTTATGATGGCCACCATAAATTAGGGGTGTGCTGAGTCGCATGTTGACTCAATGCCGGACAGGAAAGTTTGTTTTTATATCAAAATCAACGCCGTAGGCACGACGACGAATCCTCTCTATATAAGATGTGAACAATTCCCGCTTACAGGCCCCATTGAGCTTTTATCCAATAAAGAGTAGGCCTAATTGGTTTTTCAACCAATCTGGTCTATAATAAGTCTGTTTTT